ACGTGTGAGCACCTTTGTCCAATAAATAGCTGGTGTTGTTTCCATGATGTTCATGAGCTCTTCTCTGGTGAGAGGTCTCACAGCAAAAATCTGAATTTACAAACAAAACAAGAGAAAACAGCACACACAAAAAAGTGTTTTTCCTATTCCTGTTTACCATAATGTTTATCCTTTTTACAGACCCGGATATTTTATCTGAACTCTTCTGACTCTGTAGCACTGAGAGTTATCTATGTAGCTATGTGTGTGAGCCAAGGACAAAGTCTCTGGTACACTTTCTTGAATTAACACAATAAATAAGCTGCTGTCTTTTGAAAGGAACATACAGTGATGGAGACAAAAAAGGATATTGAGAGTCAGCAGAGTAAGGGAAGACAGCACAGAGGGAATGCAATAAATATAGAGGGGAAAAGTTCCAGAAGCAGAGGAAGGGGTGGAGAAAAACCAGTCTGCTTCAGAGAAGGGGGTATAACAGGGAGATGACAGGGGCTGATGAGAAGAAATGGCAGACAGAAAGAAAAGGTAGAGAAAAAGAAGAGAAGGGAGGGCTTCAGATGAAGCCTCTAACAACAAAGGAAAGCAGTAATAAATATTAAAATCACCTTGAAAACTCCAACTCCACCCACATCCACACACTGACACCCTCACAAAATATACCATCTGCAGATTTTTCACACAGCCAGACAAGGGGTGGACACAACACCTGCTCAATCTATTAAAATGAAATTCATAATAAAGGTGCTATTGACTTAACAAAGGCATTTCCTGCATGTTACTGCGTTGGACAGCATTTGATGGTACAACGCAAAACAACTACCCATACTAACCCTAAATTTATTAAATTACTATAAAGTATTTGACCTGCAGAGAAAGAGATGTGGGCAGTGATTCAGGTGTCTGCAACCATGCAGGGTAGCGATTTTGGAGGGAGATGTGATTTGGTCTATAGTGCTATGCGGCATTTGATGTCAACGCATATAGTATGGCAGCCCTATTCAACTGACCCTTTGCTAAGCCCCGCCCCCCTTAGTTACTGTTGCTAAGTCCGACAAACTGTTGGCACCGCCACTGTCTATTACTGCACTCCCTGGAGAAATATTGTCAAATTTGTTAGAAAAAGCAATCTCAGAAAGAAGCAGACAGTTTTGCAGGTGCATTAAACATTTGAAGGTTGTATTCAGACTCAAACTGACTGAAACGGACGTGAAAAAAATGAAAGATAGAAGCTAAAGCCTACCGATCACACAGTACAAGTGAACCACCGCATCCCCCTACGATTGAGACAAAAGACAAAGATATGAACGATCAACACTGTTCTTGTAAAGCTGGGTAGGCCTCTATTCATTATTACAATTATTAAAAAGCAGAACAGCAGGGCTTTATTACGTTACATTGAGTAGGAAGTTAGGTAGCATTAGCTAACTAACATTACATTAGGAACAATCCACAGCCGACATTTTTCTGGATTTATTTTAGATTTTGGAAAGAGAATAAATCGTACTTTTCCTTTCAACCTCTCTGGGTAGTGACTGTAACTACTACCCCAGGAACAGCATTTGACCATATATTAGAAAAATACAGCCACAAAAAGCTAGAAAACGACTCCTTTTGCATTACAGTCATTGGAGCGCATCCATGAAAGTGTCGGACATCAGTTAGAGCGAGTCCTATACTGCGCTGCGTATTTGGGGCATGGCTTAGCGAAGGGTCAGTTGGCAGGCTGCGGCCCAGAAGCAACCTCCCTGTGGCCCAGCCAGCATACATAATCTGAGATATACAACAAAAGTAAATTACATGTATGGTGTATGGAAGTAGCTAAAGAGTGAGCTAAATCGTTTCCTTCTTATCTTTGCTTAGAGTTAACATGTGCTGTACCAATCACCAGTACAGCGCAGCTTCCGACCTGCAGCCTCTCCCCTCCTCTGTGTCTCTGCATTGCGCCTCCCCTCCACATACACGCACACACAGAGCGAAGTCAGCCAGCTGATTAGTGGACATTACCAACCTTGACGATAACTACACTCGTTAAGCATGTGGTGCAATAAAACCTTTGTGAGTAAAAAGCTAATACTTTACCAACACATCTGTTTAATAAGCATAAACACGCAAAACGTGAAGTTTTAATCTGCTCAGTCTAACATCCATCGCAGCTGTGTTTTGGTTTTACACAGGCACAGCGCTAGTTTGGCTAATAGCTTATTGTCAAAAATAAGCTAACGTTAAAGCTGTCTTTAGTAGCCTAACTGTTTAGCTTACTTCGCCAGTACCTTAAAATATGGCACATTAAAACTTTGGAGAGAGACCAGTCCTCCAACAGGATCCTGATGCTGCTCTAGAAACAACATTAAGCCTAGTTAATAAAAAAAATATTAAATTCTTTTTTCAAATAATGTATTTTTTCAAAGACATCGATTTAGTAATAAATAGGACTGATAAGAGCATCGTTAAAGAACTGGACCAATAAGGAGTACCAATACAAGTGTGTCAAAAAATCCTAATGATACCCATCCCAACTCGTGAGAAAATGTCCGGCCCATCTCCATGTCCTGGTTTTAAAATCCGGCCCAATTGAATTTGTAATTGAATAGCCCTGCAGTATAGGCTCAATGTCAATGTGGCACCAGTGAAGGCTGGATAATGGAGAAAACATCATTTAAACTTCATACTTAAACAATACTTAATCTGCCAAGAAAAGTAACGACAAAAGGCGGTTAAGAAGAGGACTGGCTAGCTAAACACAGTGCAGCTGTGCCTCATAATCACAGGCATGTTACCACACACGCACAAACCAGCACGCAGTTTCATTGTCGTGCAAAGGAACAAGTACTTAGGCATTAAAAAAGAGCTGTATGAATACCAAGATGCACACACATTGCACTCAATATACGACAACTCAAGCATAACTTTTTTCATGCCTTCTGTTGTGTCTTGTTCATGTTCACAGATAAGTCACATTCAATTAAAAGAACCAGTGAAACACCGCCTACACACCGCAGGCTCGAACTGCATTCATAATCAGAGTCAAGTCAAGTGCAGGAATTCACCAGAGCAGAGGGTTTGCATTTCAGTTCATGCTATTAACACTGAGTAGCATAATGTTAATTTTGAATCCAGCAACAATAGATACAGTAAGCTATGTGTGTGCCATGAGTCAAACTGCTTTCAGTAATGAGCACCAAAACATTATGATCTTAATCAGTTAGACGTTTTTTGGGGGGTGGGGGCAAACAGAAGTGAAAGGGTTTGGAGGAGTTAAACCTGATTTTGAGACATCATGTTGTCTCTCACCCTGGGATCCAGGCTCATTAAAAACAGAGTGGTACTCCTGTCACTTGGGAAACCAAAGTGAATAAATATAATCCCTTACTGTAACTTGGGACCCAGGCTAATTAAAACATACTAGTACCCTTGTCATGTGGGGGTCCAAACAGCTAAAATTAAATGCTAGTCCTGGGACTCCAGCTCATTAAAAACACACTACCACTCATGTCAAGAGGGGACCCAAGCTGAGCAACATATTGTCTGTCAACCAGAATATCCAGGCTCATTAAAACATACTATTCTTGTTATGTGCAAATCCACCAGAATATTGCAGGCAATCCTGTTTTTGAGGCCCTGGCAGCAGTTTAGGAAACACACTTTTACAGGTGTAATTGAATGCACGTGGCCATGTGTAATGAGGAGAAAAGAGGAGAAGCAGATGGGTCAGGGAGATCTGAAATCAAGGGATAGAACTGTATACTTTAATTAAAAAAGGGAATAAATTGTAATTTATTTAATAGTGTTGAATCAGTATTTATGAAAGTTTTCAATTAAATCACTAAAAAACCTACATGTACAGACACGCTTGATGCTTATATATGCTCCTCTTCTACTTCTGCACAGAAGCATACACTCACAGGCATTCACCTTTGGCTGCAGCCCCTGACAGCTAAATGCCAACCAGACAAATATCAAGGACTAAGAGTTTAATGGAATATTAATATTCTGACAAATTGAGCACAAAGTCAAGAGAGTATTATGTTGAGCTCTCCCATCGGTGATGACTTCATTTCTGTCTTACTTTGCTTCAGTTTGCTCTCAGTTCTGGAGGATATGAGTGTGGATGTTTTTGTCAACTTTAAAATAATTGTGGCATATTTTTGCCCATAATTAACTATTACTATTATCAAATGAATTGCAGATTTCTCTTACATAGTGATAGAGACGAAGGGGCACTAAAAGTGATGATTACAACATTCCTGGCAAAACCTTAGCATCCACCTAAACATTTAGATTACACCCCATCACAAGCCTGTTGGTATTTAGGCTAATATGCCAAAATTATATTCAAAACATTATGTTATTATTTCATTAGTTTTACTTTAAACAATTTAGAACTTAAGCATATCAATCTACAAAATTGAATCTCCACCAAATACCTAATTCTAGATTTTAAAACTTAAATTAGGTTGGGGTGGGACTATGACATGGTAACCATCTGGTTTGCCAGAACCAGACATGGTAGCTGCTCTGAGAGGCTGCACTCAAGCAAAGCGTTGCTTTGAACTTGATGCGAACATCAGCATGCTAACATACTAACAATAATGGATGGCAATGAAACGGAATAGGAACAGGAAAAGACTGTAGTAAAGGGTAAAAGATCAAACTGAATATGCAACTTAACACCCTTTGACAAATTTAGCTGTGGCTGTGTAAACAAAGCACTTTTCATCTTCAATCATCAACAGACATCACACATCAAAAAGGATCAATAATGAATCCGGAAAACCTTGTGACACACCACAGCTGGCTGACATGTGCTCACTATCTAAGATAAGCCTGAAGTCAGAAAAGTTCTGTGCACAATTCTGATATCAAATCCCCGCTGAACAGACTTGACTTGATTCTGAATTATAAAACAGAGAAAGAATATGAAGACAAAAAGAAAAGACAAGACAAAGAGTGACTGAAATAGAGAGAGGAAATAAGGAGGGGACACAAATAAAGATCGCCTTTACCGTCTGTGTCTTGGCTGAGACAGGTTGATAGCAGCAGCAGATAAAGGACTCCTGTTCTCATTATACTCGGCCATTTGACCAGGCCACATGACAGCGGCCCCATTAAGTGCGTTATAACCATCTTCACCACCATGCTTCACCAAGCATCCAGCTGTGTAGAGATGAGGAGACAGGAACACATAAACACAGGTCAGTCATGATCATTTACCTAATTTCTAGCTGCGCAGTACGCAACATTGAAAGCATTTTGAATGCCACTGTGCTGTGGCATTCAATGAACAAGGATGTGGAAGCATACATTAACATACTCAAATGATTGACATCTGCCACTGAAAGAAACAGCAACTGTCATACAGAGTTTGATGTAGCAGAACTATATGCACTTTCCCGACACATTCCCAACAGAAGTAAGCTTTGAATGAAAATATGCCTTCCATATTGACAATGCACTCCATTAAACTGCATACGATGAGATGCCCTCACAATCTAAACCTCAAATGGCATTCAATATTCATTTTGTGGCTGCACTTCACGGCTGCTACGTCACCAATCCAAAATCTTTGATTAATCTTTGAGCTTGTAAATGTGCGAGTTAATGTTCGTTTCACAGGGATTGCCACCACAATGGAAAAAATAGGAACATGTGGATGATGATAGAGAAGGAAATATTTTGCGCAATTTAAAATGCCAGCGGTGGCAACAACATCACAGATCTTGCAGCGGAAACATTTGACACAGTTCATAATGCATTTCTGAAAGATGCTATACAGGAGAGAGAGTGAGAGAAATACATTAAGCTGAAATGTGTGTATGTGTGCAGCTTTTGTGTGGGTGTGTGTGTGAGTGTGTTTCACTTAGGTTGAGAGTAATTACATTTTATAGGGAGAACATGTTCAGCTGAAGGGAAAATAGAAGGTTTCTTTGAAGTTCTCAGTCAAAGAGACATTTGGGTCCTGTCTGAGTCTGGATGTGTACGTGTCTATGAATTGGTCTTTGATTGCTTTGTGGTAATGCAGCTCAAACCCATCTAGAATCAATACTGTCCACTTACTAGCACAAACATTTATAGCCCGTTCAGGTGATCTATAAGAAAAAACATATTTTGGCTGTTGAATACAGACACTCAAAGGATAGTGTGTTTAAGTGTGTGATAAGTGGAAGGAAGAGCGCAGTCACACTCCTCTCCCTCCATCTTACCAGCCAGTGTAGGATTTAAACTGACATGTGGTTACTAATTAGCTTCCTTAACCTCTAGCTTACCAACCACCCACATGATCCACTGTGTGCATATATATGTATATATATATATATGCATATATACATACATATATATATGTATATGTGTATATATATACACACACACACACAAACGCACACATTAGCATAATTAGCATAGTGATCCAGCAGTATTATTATATGCAACTGACTGTTTGCTAAATCCCGCCCCAGAACAGCAATGGTCCAAAAATAGTTTGGCAGCTAATCTTCATGAACTAATAAGAGCAATAACCAACTCATTACATAGAGAGTTTGAATGGTGGTGTCTTTATTTTTAGACTTATTGAAACCAAAAACACAAAAGGTCTAATGCAAGTAGCCGGCTATTTAAAAACACTATAATATTCTTTGTGTGGTTATTCAATGGTGATAAATTATCCGAAAGTCCCGCGAGGTGCAAACACCAGTGAAGCTGGGGCTCGGTGTCTTCAGCAAGTGTTCCTCTTCTGCCACAACACACATGCTAGTCCTACACATGCGCACTGACGACCCAGGGTTAGGATTACAATTTATTTTTACATGTTTATTTACAGCATTAAACGTTGAAATGTATATTGTAATAGGCTGTATATTAATTTATTGGGAGAAAACTGTTAGTTCTATGAAAAATCAGATGTTGAGCACCCCCATTTTGCCAAAATGGCATTATCCTTGTTTCGCTGCAAAGCTTTGACTGTGAGATTGACAGTCGATTCGATGCTTTATCGACTATTTGGGGTCAGCCCTTCTACATTACTTTGAGGGTTTACAGGTTACGTTCAATACCTATTAAGAAACGGAACATACACCCTGTGGTTGTCAAGATGCTTGGATGCTAGTAGCTCAGAGTTTGGAGTAACAATAAGGGCACTATCCTACTCTTTATTTGGTCTGCATAAGAAAGTGTTACATTCTCAACACATCTTCTCTTTTAAAAGAACACCAGAACAAAGCTTGATACTTGATACTTGACTAACTAGGCTATGGCTTTACCCTGCAATACGCAAGTCTGTCCATTTATATCCATGTCTTCAACATGAATTCATCAACTGGTGAGTTGAGGCTATATCCCATTTTTCTTGGGATATAGCCTCAGGATTTTAGCATGACATTATGTGTCTAGCATCGTGTGCACATTAAAAAACTCTTTAACAAGATACCTGTTTTAAAACAAATCAAACAGAACAACTAGAGATGGAATTTTCAACTGACAGTTTTAGCGGTATCATCAGCTTACACTAGCAATCAATAGATTACAGTTTCAGCTGATAAATCCATCAGTTAGAAATGAGTAACCTGTTCTCTTTACTTCACATTGTTTTAAAAATTACTGCTCATTACATATGGTAAATACTATGCCACCACTATCATTGTAAAATGCATTTGTGCAGTGCGAAAACACGAAGCATGACAGGCATAGCAACAATAACTAATGTGGACAAGGCTTGGCAAACAGTCAAAAACAAGCATCTGAAAAATAGAAATATGTTATGTCTTTAAAGTTGAATCATATCCTGCTTAAAATATCCCATATAAATGTTTCGTCCTTTGATGTATTTGATATGTCTAAATTAGTCAGTGATTTGTAAACACCTTAACCTGTTTTAGTTTATTCCAGTCTTCATGGTAATACTGAGAATATTCTTTATTCAACTGAAAGAGACCATCTTGAATGAGACTTTAACTGAGACTAAACTCAGCTGGTCTCATTCAGTAAGAACAACATTAACTGCTTCCCGTCACGCAAAATCTGACGCCTGTTTAATTAGAACTGATTTATGAAGTTCCCATGGCAGAGATTACTGTGACAGAGTCAGATTACTACTGCCCTACCCATGAATGGAGACAGAGCTGGCTGACAATGAAAATGTAATTGTGATATTCTACCATACCCCTGAAGTGAAATCCAATAGTCACGGGGGCTTGGGGCAGCTTCATTTGAGGGACACTTTAGGCTCACAACGCCACAGTGCTGCTCTTAACCGCCCTTAATTGAATTTAACATATAAAACAGTGGTGCTTCAGTCTATCCATAATAGTCTGCAGGTGTGGTGAACTGTGATCAAGATGTAACACGGTGTCAGAGAAAGCCCTGCAGTGGAAACTGATAACACGTCTGACATTGTAGAGAGGGAGAGAGAGGGAGAAGCAGATATTTATGTCTGTGGGACTAATTTTTATGAATCGCCAGGGATGTTCGATGTTTATGAATTCAAATCTTCTCTGAGTCCCTAATGCCATGCTAGCCCTGTTGATGAGTTTTATAAATAATTCTAGTACTTTTTTTAATAAGGCTGAGTTCCCAGGTGACTAATCCCTGCATGCAGACCTTGGTAGTCATACTGTGATATTGGCAATAAACGGACACATGAGGCTGAGCTTGGATCACAAGCATTTGTGCTGCCTTACAAATTCAAAATGACACTAGAACTTAAAAAAAACTATTAGATTCTGTCAAACATTTTGAAACTATATTATGTGAGTAGCAATGTTGCAACACCAGTAATCATTTTTTTTCATGGATGATGAGTTTTTTTAATTATTGAAAAGAATGATCAAATATAAACCATAAAGTTGCAAAGTACTGCATGCCATAATGATACAATTGGATAGCTCCCATGTTGCATATACTGTGGACCAAGTTCAGCAAGCACTAAGCAATCTGAATTTTTGAACATACTATACAATGCCAATGGCAACCATACAAAGAACAATTACAAGCATACAGATATCCTGAAGTATACAGACATACTAATATTATATAACATTGCAGTTGTGATCAAAGTGCTGCATGCAATTCCACTGGATAGAAACATGAAAGTGCACTGCATGTCATTTAATGTTTATCACATTAAATGATACATCTCTATTATTACCTTTTCGAAATTCCAGCAGGTAAGTCAAATAAATAAGTTCTTATTTGACTAGTATTTCAGATTTTAAGTATGCCACCTCATTTCCAGTTTGGATTGAAAAAGATGAAAAATAAAACCTTGTTTGGTGTTGCAGAATGTTGCCTCAGGATTAAAGCCTCACTCTCTGTTAAGTATGTGCACACATTCTGAAATAATGCTTTTAATTGCTGCACAGACAACACCCCATTACACCTTCCTTTGACAACCAGTGACCCAAAAAGTGAAACACTATCAAGAGTGGAACTTCTCTTTTTTATAACCTGAACCTGACAAAACAATGGCAGCAAAAATACACTTGTTTGATACAATAACCTATTCTCAGAGGAGCTAATCTATTCTAACAAGCCAACACAAAGCCAGATTGATTTTTGACAGTGATGAATAGGAAAAGAGTTGGTGCTGTTCTACAATTGGATCTTCACTTATAGAGCACTTATCAAACCAAAGGATTAAGTGCTTCACAGAGAGAAAAATGAAATAAAATATAAATGATAAAATACATGAAAGGCAAAATAAAAGATAATAGACAAAAAATTTAAATAAACAGTCAGCTCTGGTAAAATCAATATATTCTTTCTGCAAAAAGTAAGTTTTTAGAAGAGACACTTAAAAAGGCATTGACTCAGACAGCCTTATTTCCTTGGGCAGGTTGTTCCAGAGCCTCAGGGCCCTGATCGCAAAAACTCTGTCCTCTTCAGTTATGTAAGTTACATAGGTAAGTTAAGTTACATCATGTGACTTGTGACTTACTAGAGTAACGCACTTATTTTAATCCAAACCATGATCTTTTCCTAAATCTAACCAAGCCACGGCCACTTCACAATGTTAACAATGTCTTTATTGTCACCATGGTACAGGTACACCTGTCGCTGATACTCTCCAATAGTCACATATGTCATTTTGGGCAAACTAGCCTATTCATTCGTTTAGGTACAAGGATATGTTGGATATGCTGGGAACCAATAACAACATCTTCTGTTTT